ACAGACTTACAGCTGGGTATCTCGAATTCTGAGGTGAGATTACTATAATGACTGGACTATTAGACTTTCTGTAATATTGGTGATTTTTTAAAATTATGAATCAATAAATAAAACGATGTGAATGTGAACGATTTTCAATAATAAACAATAGAGATAAAACATTCACTACAAGAAAATTGGGTCGGATAATATCGATTTTTTAATATCGCTATCTAATTGGCTACCTGTGTGTCGAGACTATTGCTACAAAAATTTATCACTTAGAGTTGAATTATTGAGAATTTTAATTTGTCCTTATAATCCAGACTAGACAAAATTGTATGACACATTTTTGTGTTATGTTATATATTGTATAATAATTCAAATTTCCCGCCATTACTATTAGTAATGTTGGCAATAATGTTCCCCTATCATACCTATGTATCCGCCATCTTATATTTATGTTTGATTATGAAAAATAACTCTCTTCTTGCTGAACAGTGAAACAAGTAACATTTAAAATAAACTGAGTCATTTAAAGGAAGTATTTTTTATTAGACATTTGGTGCAAATAAAGGCTGTTGCCGGTATAGTACTCGGAAAATTTTGGAAATTGGTAATCTTATAGAATTGCGAATTTCAACTTTGCTACCTCATATTTTCACGGCAAGTCGGCGCCGCCATATTGGAAAAATGGCGTCAAAAAATTGTTTTTTTTTTTAAATTCCTCCTTTTCGGCTCATTGTACAATAAAAGTAGCTACGTACGAATTTAAACTAGATGAAATTTCCTACAATTCATTCAATAACTCAATAATTTTTTTTTGTAAAATCAATAGTTCATAGTACGGGTGCCCCAAAGTCTTTGCTGCTCTCGACGCCATATTGAATCTCTATTATTATGGTTTTTAGAAAAAAATATTTTTTTAAATAATATATTGATTCTGTTAATAAGACAAGATGTATAATATGTTTTAAATCCATTTTTTTAATATTGATAAATTGTTTTTTTTATTGATTTAAATTTCAATCGATTGAAGCATCTTTTATTAGGCAGGTTGCTGGCTCGTAAAGCAGTGTCACTCCTCCGGAAAATATTCTGATACTGAAATTGTTAACAGTTAATTATGACAAATAGTATTTTTTGTGAAAGATTGCTTCCAAATTATTTAAATGTAAATTTCGATTCGAGTTGTATATTTATAGCGATTTCAATATCATAAGGAAGAGGAAGAATTGTATGGTTTCTTCTGCGGAGTCTTCGCATTATATTATTTACGACCGTGTCAGAAAACAACGGTTCATGTAATTACTCTCTCGGATGTTATATATTTATATTATATATATTGTACGCATAAAACACGATTTATATACATATATATACACAGGAATATATATTCTCTTCAAACATCATACGTGGTCTGTTCAAAAAGTACCCGGAATTACTAATAATTAAATTTCGCGGGTCTGGAGTGTCTGATTGTCAAAATTTTTTTTTTATTGTGTTGGTATACATGCCCCTAAAGTATGATGAAATTTTCAGCTATATTCACTGTTTACTTTTCTGTGGTAGTCGCTAAGGTTCGACGTGTTTTTCTGAGCTCGGCGATTTTTACAATGGAAGAATTGAAAAGTCAAAGAATTTGTATTAAATTTTGCGTAAAAAATGAAATAAAGTGTTGCAAAGTGCAAAAATTCACCAGATATGGCTCCGTGTGACTTTTTCCTATTCCCAAAGTTGAAGGAGACCCATGAAAGGACGGCGGTTTTCCTCGATTGAAGAAAATCGCTGAGAGTGCTCAAGGACATATCAAAAAGTGAATATCAAGGGTGCTTCGAAATTGGAAAAAACGCTGGCATAAGTGTATTATATCTGGGGGGGACTACTTTGAAGGGGACCACATTAATGTAGACGAATAAATAAATATTTTTTTGAAAAAACGAAAATTCCGGGTACTTTTTGAACAGACCACGTATATAATATTCGTCAGAAAACTTTGAACTTAATTTATGTAGTCTCAAAACATACCAGGGCGTCCTGAGTTATGTGGGTTTTCTTAGAAAGCAACTCAATGGTTGTCTTGTCCTTAATTGACATGTTTTTCTTGTATTAGATTTTTGTGTTAGTGACGATATACTCTAAACTAGGTAAAAAAATATATTTTCTTGTATACCATAGCTACAAAACCCTCTAAAATATTTTTTGCTGCCAAAATTAAGACCACATACAGATATAATACTAAAAATATAATAAGATAAAATATAATAAGATATGATATTTGAATCAATAATTTTAAAATATATTTTGTAGCGGTTAGTATTTAGTAAATTTATTTAAAAATGTGAAAATTGGCACTAATTTATGAATTCTCCAGAAATTATTGATGTTTTCTTACATGTATTTACATGGGCGTGTCGTGTCAACAACTTCATTCGCAAAGCCTTATAAGTACATGCAATCGATGTACATACATGAACATATAATACTCTTGTCTTATCAGTATAAATATGTTGTACTTTAATAAATCAAATTTTATACAAATAGAACATCTTTTTTTATTCACTATTATATTTACTACTATCCAGTTAAGGACATTTAGTACATTTGTGGAATTTATAATTGTCAGCTTAAATAGGAACATTGTATACTATAGTCAACTTAATAATTGTTTTTCCATTCGTTATAAATAATATTAACAATATTTTAATAATAACACTATATACTCTACTATTTTCTTATAAATAATATCTTATAATAATAACTAAGTTAATTCAATCTTCATCAAGATTTTTTTTAAATAATTTTGCTAGTGAATTTGGATGACTAATGAGCTCGTTTTATATTTATGAGCTGTTTTTGTTATTACATCATTTATTATATTTATTTAATTTTAATATTCATAAATATTTGGAACAGTTTTAAACGTCTGTAAGCTTAACATTATTAAATAAATAATAAAGAATGTAGGGTGTTTTATTTTAAAATTCATTTTCTCATCTATCAATAAGTATATCTTAATAAACTTTACCAAGTAATATTAAATTTCTTAGTAAAGTAGTAATTACTTAGTGAATTAAAATTTCTTCATTTTTTTGCAACTTGCACACCACATTTTTTAATGTGAGTCCAATTCTGTTTTCTTTTCTTTGAAATGAATAAAAAAATTATTGGATATAATTTTATAAAATATTTTCTGCGAAATATCGAAATTGTATTTTATCTCTGGTTACACTTTTTAGCACGTTTACCTGTAATATCATAATTTGCCCTATACTAATTATTCATACGATTTTTATCTTATGAACGTTTTGAAATATATATCCAGTGCATCTTCAGCAAATTATTTTTTGCAATTATATTTTAATATAAATATAAATGTACATATTACATATAATTTATAATTATATTTGTATTGGTGTGATATTTATTTACTTTGCTGGGACTTTCTCTTTGCGAATATGCAGCGTTTTATATTTGTTCATTTTATGAATCATATATAAATGTTTCTTTTTTCGAGATTTCTCTTATTATTTAATAAGTTTTTTATGGCTTTTACTTTCATTCGACTGAAACATTAAAATTGTGAAATTAATACCAGATATATATGTATATATCTAACAAAACAAATGCAAATATATATCTGAATATTTTACTAATTATAGTATTAATGTACAATTTAATTTGTTTCTTTTCATTACTACATTTATTTAAACATATAGATTTTATCTTATATTATTTACATATTTTTTATTTAGTATAAATATTTTTTTTATTTAAAAATATGTACTTGTTAGTTAACTTATGCAAGAGATATTAAATATAACAAATTTCAAATAAATAAGTTTTCTAGAGACGTAATGAACATATTGTCGAAATGTTCTTAAGAATAAATTGTGTTAATAAATAAAAAATATAATTATAAATATACTAATAATATATTATGATTATTAAATAATTTGTTTATTTGATTCGATTCATTCGTATATACCATTTTATATTTATTTTTACCTTTAGTAATGAATATAGTAATAAATATATTATATAAATATTATTATGACAACTATTAGTCTCATCAACAATTTGTTTATTGATGTAATAATAACAATAATAATAATTATCATTATCACAAGGTTTAATGTCGATATATTCATTTGTTATTAAATTATAGAGAATAGAAAGAAAACGAGTTTCTAAACGTGATTTACATTCAATGGATATATATAGAAATAAAAATTTATACCTGCGTGTATCTTTATATAAACATAAATAATAAACAATATTTATTTATAAGTCATGGGAAACCGTTCATCCACGAAATGGCATTGATTAGTGTGAATTATTATTACACATTATATATTATATATATATATATATATATATATATATATATATATATACTAGCAAACCCGGCCATGCTTTTCTTTGGCTTTTATTAAAATCCACCGGATTGAAATTTGAATCGACAGATCAACCAACAGTTTAATACTATTGATTAAAATGTTTTTCCAAACTTATATTAATAAAAAAATGAATATATTAAAAATGAGTAAAAGAGCCCATTACAAAATTTATTGTGAATAATCAAGTGACTTTTATAAATGTGGTATACCCTATATAGGCACATGCTCTACAGCTTATTATTTTCTTTGAAAATTGTCCAAAAATATCTGATTTTTTAATTTGCGATTGTCAAATAAATTGTTCTGAATCACTAATAATACAATTTTCCTTTCCGACTACAAATATAAAAATATATAACATGAAAAGCCATCAAGCAAACTCAAAGCTTTTTGCAATTTTTAACAATTTAGATATTTTGTTTAGTCGAGTTAATTAGAATTTTCCAGAGTTTTGTTTTAAAATTATCCAAAACGTTTCAATTTTTTTACTTAATTTGTCTTAGATTTTTACTTTTTATTTTCATATTTTTTCTGCCATGAACAAAATCTGTATTCTATAGAATAAATTCGATTAAACCAGTTTCAATCCATTATAATTTTCTTCGTCCTTTTCCGTTTCAGTTCGCGATGACGATGGTGTATTCGCCGACGCCGTCGCCGCCCCCTGCTCCTCCGGTCGCTGGCACGAATCCTCCGCCTCCGTCTTCGGCTCCTCTCGGATCGAACCCGAACGCCTTCGCCCAGTTGTACCAACACCAGACCACCAACATCTACGACACCAATCAGATGATGCAGTCGCCGATAGGTGGACACATGACACAACAGGTAAAGGAATTATTTGAATTTATCGTTTAAAGAGTGCGCGTAAGGTTCAGACGCGATTGAAGTAAAACTTATTTGCTACTGTACAAAATGGTATTTAAGTAAAAATAAATACATCATATAACAATTTTGAATAATGTTTATTAGTAATATGGTAACACTCGTGATGCACATATTTATTAGTGTCACATTATACACATTTATATAATGACTAGCAAACCCGACGAACTCAGTTTCGCCACCAGATGGTTTCGTGAGAAGAAGAGAAATTTTTTGTTTGTTTTTATATTTGAAAAGGAAAATTTGATTTTATTATACACAGTAATGAATTTATTTCGATTACAAAAATGAAGTGTTTTTTAGTTGAACTTCTCTAAGTAAATGAAAGTGAATTCGCAAATTATCCGTTTCATTGAAGTGATCTTTGGTAAACCACATTTTTTGTTTTTTGGTCTCGTGAGCAGGCAACGTATAACTGCCCATGTGAAAAACAATGATTTTCTGAATAATCTATTTGAAATTTATCCCGCAAACACTAAGCGATTAGCCTTGCGACTTGTTAATTGTCATTGCGAACTGGAAAATGCAATCGTTTGAAGTCGAACGGAAGACCAGTCGGAATTATTGGTATGTCACCAAATCGCCAGCAATTTTTGATTGAATGGTGAAATTCAGTGCGTGTACATCATTATACTTTGCAGCAAAAATTGTTCGTTGACTTAACCAAGCATTCTGATAATTCTCACTAATGTCATTACTCGAATTTTTAATCACGGTGCGTGAAGTTCCAGCAATTTGCATTAGGGCACGATGCCATGCACCACTAATTTTCTTAGCTATAAACCTTGCGAGACCTTTTCAACGAATGCAAAATTGTCGAAATCGGTTTGTGCGTTCTGGAGTTAAATCGTCAGGAAGGAAAACCCGATTTATTTTTATATATATGTAAATAAATGATAAATATATATTTATAATAGCATTAAAAATATGTATACTATTTAAACACAATAATGTAATTAAAGTCATACTTCAAATATGACATGATCGGTTTGTCATTGCAGTTAGCATTTAGAAATGAACCTTCGTTAGAAAAATTAAGTAATTGCTGATTAATAAATTCTAAAATATTCATTCACAGAGTGGATTATGTTAAACAAAGCCTAAACAAATATTGTTTTCGTAACTTCAATCATCATGTAATAATTGTGTTTGAAGAACTTCATGTAATTAAAGTTAACATACATTCATTGACTGCTTGTATTTTTTTTACTTTTTTTTCTGACGATATAATCTCATTATGTGAACATCTGTGATCTGTAATACCTGTTTTGCCTATAAAAATATTTTCCATTTCAATAACTTCAAAGATTTATAGAAATTACGAATAATATAGAAATAATTTCTAATCAATAAACTTACATTTAGTACACGGCACAAATGCTTAATTTGTTTTATTATTTTCAAGGAACAGGGTAAAGTATTCTTCTGATTCAGGAATTTTTCATTAAATCAAGATCTGTACTACGATGTAACTTTAAAATGTTTATTTATCTATGCCGATTTCCTTGTTAATATCGGAACGCATACAACGACAGATCCTCTATTTCACATACGCGACGACAAATCACAATCGACCCGTATAAAAATGATATCATCGAGAGCGAATGACGAATCATTGGCACTCGACTCTTGTCTTATCTTATCTGCCGTAACGCACTTCCGTTGCATTTGTACGGATTTACACCTTAGTCGCGCCTAATGAAGTTTTACTTAAAAAAAATAGAGCTAAACCCGTTTGATTTGTCTGTTAAGATTCTATATATTTCTTTTTCTCACCAGATAACATCATCATCAAATTTCCCTCAAGAAAGAGACGGCTGTGTGGCTTTGTTCTCGAGATGGACAGAAAGCGAACAGGTTGAATTTGTCGAAAGGCTCCTATCAAGGATGTGTCACCATCAGCATGGACATATAGATGCCTATTTGAAACCAATGCTGCAGAGGGATTTCATCACATTATTACCAAGTAATAATATAAAGCAATTTTAATAATCCTCCTCCAATGCTCTCGAATTAATTTTTGTTCTGTTTCTTCTAGAAAAAGGCCTAGACCACATTGCAGAATCCATCCTGTCCTATCTGGATGCAGACAGTTTGTTATCAGCAGAGTTGGTTTGTAAAGAATGGAGGAGGGTCATAGCCGAAGGGATGCTCTGGAAAAAACTTATAGAGAAAAAAGTTAGGCATGATTCCACATGGAGAGGGTTGGCCGAGAGGAGAGGATGGATTCAGTATTTGTTCAAACCGAGACCAGGCACTTTGCATCCGAGCCATGCTTTTTATACAGCACTTTATCCTAAAATCATGCAGGTAGGGAAAGGAAATATAAGTATATATTTATATACCGACAGACATTGTCCTGTACCCATGTCTACAATTTTTAATATAATATACTAATATGTACCGTTTACCCAAAAATAATTATTATTGTTTTTTAAATTACTCTTTACGCCAAAATGCATATACATATATAATATGAGCGATATTAAATGTAGAACTGCTTTAAATAAAATTATGAGTTTCCATTCCCCAACACTATATTGGAAATTGAAGTCTTTTAAACGGTATAACATAACTATAATCATAACATAACACTAGTACTTCATGTTGCATTAAATTAATTTAATTTTTTATTATTTAAGATATTCAAAATTGCATCTTAAACTTGTCCTAATCGATATCGTGTGGGCCGAATTGTATGTATTCATCTTTACTTTCCCATTTGTTGTTATAAAGTGAATTTTTTACGAATTTTAAAAATATTGCGGAAAGATTAGTAAAAGATGCAAAGAAATTATATGCTGAAAAAAATACTATATTGAAAATTTAATATCCGAATCTTGTGTTGGCGCCCCCTAAGGCGTGCGCTCGTATTTTTCGCATGCTTCGCATCAAAGGCAAGACCGGCCCTGATTAATACCTAAATTCATGTTTTAAGTGAATTAATTTGTCATATCCTGTTAATATGTGTATCATTCAATCTGCCATACGTATACTGTATTTAATATTATTTTTATTTCTGGCACATCTCAGCTGCTTTTTGGCAATAATAATGTAGATTTTCATTTCATTTTTCTTATTCATAATCATAAATTTATTATACATATTCTAATATTGTTTAGGTACATAAGTAAATTGAAATTTTTGGCAGAAGATAGTTTTTATTTGTTTTCAATGCAAACAATGACATGTCGTTTTTTACAATTTTTTTTTAATTATTTCTACAATATTTCACATACATCCCAGAAATATAATCACATACATTCTAGAAAATTTCCTTAACAAACTTCAGAAAGATTTATCAAAACCCGAATAATCGTTCAGAAGGAGTATATAGTGGATGCTTGTAATTTAATATGAACTTTATATAATAGCAATAAAGCTCAAATTGATTCTACGTTTTAGTTAGAAAACGTTTGTACGAGAAAAAGAAAAGGGCTGTTGTTAGGGTTTTCCCGGCAATTATTCGATTTTTTTTCGCCGTAAGAACCATCCTTGGACTTCAACGAACATTTTAAAAAAAGAATTGGCCAAATTGGTCCAGGCGTTGTTGAGTTATGCGCTTACCAACACATTTTGCGATTCATTTTTATATATAAGAAGATAAATAAATAATTATATTTATATATTTATTAGGACATTGATAGCATTGAATCCAATTGGCGAATGGGTCGACATAATCTTCAAAGAATCAACTGTCGATCAGAGAACTCCAAAGGAGTCTACTGTTTGCAGTACGATGATACTAAAATCGTATCAGGCCTAAGGGATAACACAATTAAAATCTGGGATAGAAGTACACTACAATGTAATCAGGTAAGAAAATATATATATAACTAGTTGTGTATGGCATCATGCCTTAACACTATTCCGACCGGTCATACAAAAGCTATATTTTTCTGTATTGAATGAAGAGTTAATATGCTAGTTTAAGAGTTTATAAATACAAATACAAAATATTTCTTTTATTTTAGAATGCAAAATATACATTTTATTCTGTTTTTTTTCAAATTTTTTACGATTTTTTTTCTTAGAGTGCATTTTTTACGTTTTTGGCTGATTTTGATCACCTTATCAGCTTTCTAAAATAATATCTGGAATATTCTCTTTTAGTAAATCTGTTTTACACTTGTACTTAGTTGATTTTTTTCTGAATTCTTGTTAGAACTATACGGCAAGTTAATTGGAATAGAAAATTCCCGTCTTGTACATCGTCTTTCCGTAATTTCTTTATGTGACAACAATGGATTTATCCTGAATGAATCCAAAATAATGTAAATCCTTGATGAATTCTCTCTAAAATTCATATTTTACCGAATGATTTCTGACTATTTTATGAATGACATCTACACCAAGCACGACGCTAATACCAATTGAATTAACTCCCGTATTAGTGTAATTTTTTCAAGATATGCGTATGTAAGTGAAAATTAGAATCTTCTTTCTTATCTTCCAAAATTGTAAATATTATTTGATTGTTGAAGTCCTTGATTTTTAGTTCTGCTAGTATTTATAGCAGTTATATTGCTTCAATTGTACCTACCATCAGTTTTTATTACTAAAAGTTTAGCTATATGTAGGATGGTAAAAACGTTATATATTTTTTACGTCGTACTAGCGATTTTGATAATACGGTTTCATCAGTTATAAATCTTCAAAGAAATTCTCAGTTTGCTACGTATACTGGATGGTTACCAAAATTTTACACTCCATTTGTGCGATTTGCTAGGCATAATAATATTTACATCGTATATTGAACGGTTACTAATATTTATACGTTTTCCTGAATACTATTGAACATGTGTTGAATAAATTCACACCTTACCTTTATTGAAAATATATGTTTGTCGATAGTAATACGTAGACTTTTACAACAATTTTGATTGCTGTCAATGTAGTTGAACCAACCTTTGGATTCAAAACAAAATCTATCAATTTGTTGTTTGGATTCCTTCGTAAAAATCTATCTACACATAGACATTGAGCAAAAATGAGAAAACCCACTTTTTATACCGTAGAAGTGCAATATTTATACTCCTTGCCTCATTTGTGCAGAGTGCATACAGAATCGAAAAAAATGCATATACATTTGCAGAAGGTATTTTTTACCAGTCTAAATTCTTCTGATTTTACATTTTATTGTAAGTTCGATCATATTCCTAACAATTATTTCAAAAAATGCCGTACGAACATCGTCTTTCGTACTACCGGTCAAATAACCGGTCGCGGTAGGCAAGACAGTATACAATTTTTTTTCCAAAAATAAAAATTGAAATTAGCTGTAAGTGGAATTCTGTCTTAGGCATAAGGCAATTAAGGCATCGTGCCTTAAGGCAAATTGCTGGAACTTCCCGTACCAAAAATTATTATTTTTTTAAAAACGATTAACATTTTTGAATAAAATTTACTTCGAAAAAATAAGATTTTTGACAAAAAATTACTTTTTTTTGATAAAAAAAAATTTTTAATTTTTTTTTTTTTGAAAAAAAAAATGTTTTCTTTATTTTGACATATTTTGAAAGATCCAAACTTTTTTTTCAAAGCAATCGTACTGCTTTAACTGCATAAAGACGAAATATCAAACCGCGTAAGCGCCGCGTCGACGTCTAACGCGTAAACATTGGTACGGAACCCATAGGAATGTAAACCAAAATTATACTTATTGTTAAAATCTCTATAAAATATCTGATAATTTAATGTGCATATGTCTAATGATCATTTTTGACCGCCAAATGGCATTTTTTTTTTACTTTTTTCATTAGATCTCCGAAACCGCTAGACCTGCCTTTATGAAAATTTGATCGGTTCTTCACCTTGTCAATACAAGTAAAATGCTTTTTGAATTATTCAAATAGGACGCTCCGTTCTCTTAAAAACTGAGTTACCGTTTTCGGCACTTTTTGCCCCATATCTTCGGAACGGCTGGACCTGACTTGGCCAAAAACTAATCAGCACGTCTCCTTATCAATACGAATCGAATGTTTTTTGAATTATTCAAATCGGTTGATCGATGTTCCCGACATCGTCGACGAAAATTTGTATCCGCAAATACATACACACACGCACATACACACACACACACACACACACATACATCAATTTTTTCTAAAGTATGCCAAAATATTCAGAAACCTTTGAAACGTCGAGAAATGCAAAAATTTTCATTTTCGATTTTTTTGCGATTACTATAACTTGCCCTACGGGAAGTTAAAAAACAAATTAACATTGAAAAACGTATCATACTCACATATTAGGAAAAGTCATAAAGTTTGATGACGATTCAATTACGTTTGATATGAAAAATAGTAAAAATCAAAAACGGTCATTTGACCGGTCCCGGTAGGAATAGTGTTAAGGCAAATTGCTGGAACTTTCTGTACGAAAAATTTAATTTTTTGAAAAAGATAAGAGAAAGATAAAGAGAAAAAAATAGATTTTTGAAACTTTTGAAAGAAATTGACATTTTTGAAAAATTAGATTCTTTTTATACTTTGAAATATTTTGAAATATCAAAAAATCTTCAAAAAGTCGATCACGTGATTAATGGACGCCCCCTAAAATGATAATTTATTTATAATATTAATTCTATAATTTTTATCTCAGGTTCTGACCGGTCACACTGGTTCAGTATTGTGTCTGCAATACGATGAACGAGTGATAATATCGGGGTCCAGTGACTCCACAGTCCGTGTTTGGGACGTAGCCACGGGGGCTATGGTCAACACACTCATACATCACTGTGAGGCTGTCTTGCATTTGAGATTTAGTAACGGGATGATGGTCACATGTTCAAAGGTAAGGAAAAAATAGAATTTATAATACCTATGATATAATTATGGTAATAACCTAATTTAAAATTTATTTATTCAGGATCGTTCAATAGCCGTATGGGACATGACGACATCTACAGAAATTAGTCTGCGCAGAGTCCTTGTTGGACATCGTGCAGCCGTCAATGTTGTTGATTTTGATGAAAGATATATTGTTTCAGCCAGTGGGGATAGAACTATTAAGGTAATATTTTTATACATTATAATATATACTAGCAAACCCGACGAACTTCGTTTCGCCACCAGATGGTTCGTGAGAAAGATGAAGAAATTTTTTGTTTGTTTTATATTTGAAAAGGAAAAATTTGATTTTATTATACAGCAGTAATGAATTTGTTTCGATTACAAAAATAAAGTGTTTTTTAGTTGAACTTCTCTAAGTAAATGAAAGCGAATTCGCAAATTATCCGTTTCATTGAAGTGCTCTTTGCTTTTTGGTCTGACGTTAACACAAACAAAGCGGATGGTTTTCCAACTTGTGAGCAGGCAACGTATAACTGCCTATGTGAAAAACAATGATTTTCTAAATAATCTATTTGAAATTTATCCCGCAAACACTAAGCGATTGGCCTTGCGACTTGTTATTGCGAACGCAAGGCGAACTGGAAATTGCAATCGTTTGAAGTCAAACGGAAGACCAGTCGGAATCATTGCTATGTCACCAAATCGCCAGAAATTTTTTGATTGAATGGTGAAATTCAGTGCGTGTACATCATTATTCTTGGGGCAAAAATTGCTTGTTGACTTAACCAAGCATAATTCTGATAATTCTCACTAATGTCATTACTCGAATTTTTAATTACGGTGCGTGAAGTTCCAGCAGCTTGCATTAAGGCACGATGCCATGCACAACTAATTTTCTTAGCTATAAACCTTGCGGAGCCCGAGACCTTTCCAACGAATGCAAAATTGTCGAAATCGGTTCGTGCGTTCTGGAGTTAAATCGTCAGGAAGGAAAACCCGACTTATTTTTATATATATAGAAGATATTTATATATATATATATATAATATATATATATATAATACATTTTTTATTCCAGGTATGGAATACATCTAGTTGTGAGTTTGTTCGAACACTGAATGGACACAAAAGAGGCATAGCTTGTTTACAATATCGAGATCGAATAGTTGTTAGTGGATCCAGTGATAATACAATAAGGTATGTAATTAATGGTTGAACTAGATGTAAGTGGCATTTTGTCATGAGGCAAGTTATATGAACTTCCCTGACATGAGTCAAACTCAAATGCTTAAATGATAACTGATATTTATAATGATATCAATTTTACTAAAATCTAATTGGCGCCATTTTCAATTGACATTTTTCAAACAGAAATTTATTTATTAAATTCATTTTGACTTCATTACTCATTCACTTTATTACTTAATTTTTTTAGAACTTTCATCTAATATATTGTATTTATAGATTTGTAATCTGATTGTTGAAACTAACTGTGAATAATTAAAAAAAAACTCTATGAGGACATAAGGGTTTTCTAACAATTTTTTTCTAGTTTTCATATATTTATGATACAGGATTACAACTACTCATTACAGAAAACAAATTATCTTAATTAAATTATTCTTGATAAAATACAAAGCTAAAACTATATTAAGCCTAACACTAATATCATTAATAATATTTAATTATTACCGAAAACGAATCTTAATTACAATTAGTAAAATACAAAGCTAAAAAGATACTTAGCTTAGCACTTATATCATTAACTATTATCTATTATTAATTATTATTATTTATTATTATCTATTATGTTTTAGGTTATGGGACATAGAATGTGGAGCCTGCTTGCGAGTTCTGGAGGGTCACGAGGAGCTAGTAAGATGCATAAGATTCGATTCAAAACGCATCGTCTCAGGTGCCTATGATGGCAAAATCAAAGTATGGGACTTGATGGCTGCCATGGACCCTCGAGCTCCAACATCTTCCTTGTGTTTGAGGACATTGGTGGTAAATATAGAAAACTAATTAAAAGTTACCTTTTTTCTCTCAGAGACTTGTGTTCAGTATCATATTTATTTCATAGTAATTATTATTATTTTAAAAACCATTTTTTTTATAGGTTTTAGATTCTTTATTTTAGATTATTCTTTAAGATTTTTATTATCGTCCAAGAGATTTCATTGATTTTTTTTACAATTTTATAAATGTTTATGATTTTTTATATATGATTCATTAAATTTTATTAAATTAATAAGAATTACTATATAGGTTTACAAAATTGAGGAAAATTTTATGGACTTTTATGAATTTTAAAGAACCTCAGCATATTTTCTATAAATTTTTGTAAGTTATTGAAATATTTTTATAAATGTACATAAATTTTTACAAACGTGCATAAATTTCTAAAGACATTTCTAAATTTTTATAAACTTTTACAACTGCAGAAATTTTTCATATTTTCATTTTGCTAAGAACATTTTTTGAGAAAACTGTTACTTGTTCAAAGTTTTTATCTCGAATTTTGCTCGTAGCAACAAATCGCTCCAAATTCTCATAAGTCGGAGCGCCTCTTTACTTAAAAATTATGTTTAGATGTCGTAAACTAAACTGCAGTACTCAAAACCAAAAAAAAACCAACAATGAAAAAAATATTTCCGGAAAAAGAAACTGGAAATATAATCGTTCATTTAGTGATACACCCACTGGTTTCATCCATTTTTCTCTCTACTTTAAAATAGCAAGGTTAGGGCCGGACACAAAGGTCCAATTTCACATTGATCAATTATGTTGTGAAAACCAAAACGATTTCATAACAACAAATAACACATATCAAAAAAACAACTATCTGACTATGTTCAGTGCAAATTCCAGCTACTTCATCATTTTAGAAATGTTTTTTTTTGCTGGTATTCAAAAATTTGTAGCCTGGACCGTTTTATCCCATAGGCGGGTCAAAATGGGACGTCCAAGGGTCAATCTGATCCAATGTTTTATTTTAATTTTAAATGGTTTTTACGAAATTATAGCTACATTATTCAACCAATGCAAAATATAAATTTACTGGGTACATTTTTGTTACAAAGATAACACTGTATACAACCTTGATCTGGTATTTTGTCAGAAATATTCATTAGCAGAGTTTTAACCAAATTTACATTTGTTTTTACTATTTTTAGTGTTCACATCTTTTCCTAGGGTAAATTTTCAGTTGGTACTTTTTACCCCAACTAGTTGTAAGCTTTTGTAGAAGTTGTATAAAAAGACTGTTAACCACAATAACCGAAAAATGGTCGCAGTTTCACCAAAACAATTGGTTTGCACTTAAAAACTCATATTTTCAAACTACATTAGATATATTTTTTTAAATTTCCCATGATAATTATGACCAATATTATAACCTTGTCTGGGCTTGACGTTGAACTCTGGGACACCCTGTGTATAATTATATCAAGGGTGCATTCTGGCACTTTAAAACACACTTAAAGTCGTGTATCTACTATCATCCATCCATAATCTAACTTAATATCAACGATACATGTTATAAAATAATTTAAAAACCTATACTTGAAAATTATATTTGAGGTCTCGTAACCAACAGTACTCACGAAGAAATAAAAAACAACGAAAGAAAATACTTTTGTTAAGGATTTTCAGACTTTGGTGTTTGTCTCTTGAAAGCAACAAATCAAGCACAAATTTGAAATTTGATTATCTTAAAACTAAAATATTTTGTAAGAAATTATAATCATACTGGAATTATATCATTGCAGTACCAGTATTAATTTTGCATAAAATTTTACTTTCTAAACAATGTAATACTGTAATAATTTTAAAATAAACAATTAATAGCAAATAATGCTACAATGTAATAATTGCTCTATATTAGTAAATTAATTATCTCTATTGGCAGAAAATTTTACGAGCATATATAATTTTAGTAATGTACAATGAATAAATATTCTGTAAAGCATTTATTACATCTGTTTATAGATTTGTATTCTATTTAGACATTCTAAGTACTACCAAAAAGTTTGTTGATGTTCCATAATGGAATGGGCGCGGATATTTAAAAAAAAATTTATGAACAATAACGTACAATCTTCAATAAGAATGAGTTTACAAATGAATTTTTACTAAGCACATAATATAAATGGCAATAATGAAAAACCTTTTTCTATCGTTCATGGCTAGTTATACATCTTTTGCCCTCTACTTTCAAATATTGGTGGGGATCACTATGATTAATTATATATTAAGAAAACTGTAAATTATAAATATCCCGTCACTTAGATAAGATCTTAGTCTCTGTTATTGTAAGTATTTATATTCATACATTTATACCCCCTACCTCAAAAAGGGTCTCGGGTTAAATAGAAAAAGCCCTGGTCAAATCTTGACCAAATATTGTAAATTTTTTTAACTTTGTTTTTGAGATATCTGTGATGGACCTTTTTATCATTTATCACTATCCATTAAATTTTTTTCCCTATGAGTGAGTTGTTTATTGTTTTATCGTCAGGAGCACACGGGACGAGTGTTCAGACTGCAGTTCGACGAATTCCAAATAGTGAGCTCCTCCCACGACGACACCATCCTGATCTGGGACTTCCTGAACTACGCCCCGCCCGACGGCACCCCCAAACAGGGCACCTCCAATTCGTCCGCCAATAACACTCCGAACATTGCCGAAGTGAACCGGAGCCCCTCGAGGGACCTGGCCGAAGATAATGATTACTTGTGAAATTTATAAGACTGTGACAAAAAAAAGTGTCGAGTGGAGTGGAGTGGAGTTACAAGTACAAGAGATTAATTTTTATTGTCGGGACTACTTTTGTGAGTACTTAATAATAATTATAAATGTAAATAAGTGATAGTTTTTGAACGACTAGTAGGAGATATTTATAAAAGAAGTGATAAGTACTTAATTGTATATATTTAAATTAAAGGACCGAGAACTGTGTTCTGCTTATTGTGTATATATCGCGTTAGAGGGAGCGCCGAATCAACTCGAAATCAAGATGTGAAATTTGAATGAAAATGAAATGTAAAAAATATATATATTGATTAATGTCGACGTAGAATATTCTAATTTTTAGACTATGGGGCTAATTCTGCGATAACCTAAAAATGTTATGACAAAATTATGTTACGGTTCTTTTTCATATAAGTTGCTAGTAAAAACTGTCGAAATGACATGCATTTGCTGTGCCATCAGGTGTTTCACACATAAAAACTAACTTCACACATGTGTTATCAGAGTTGCACTCATGATAAAATTGTTTGTTCGTTTTGGAGGTTAGGTTTTATGTGTAAAAAATAGTTTTTAAACAGTTAGTACTAGTTTATACGAAGCTAGACCCGTAACACAGTACAGTAGTAGTCCTTTAGTCCTTTATCGAAAATTCCGGATTATCGAGCGGCAATTACAAAAAGATTAAAAAATGTACTTCAAAATCAGTAGGATATACAAACAATATTTCTTTCTAACATTTAACTAGAATATATATTTCAAATACTTTTAAATTTTTACCAAAACACATTTTTATTTTCCATAAAATTTATAGTGTTACGTTTTTCATGTCCTTTAAGGATTAAGTTTTGAAAACATGGTCACTGCACCGGTTAGTGTTTAAAATACTGATATATCCTTTGTAGACGTAAGGCCTACGCATATCGTAGAACGTACTTTGGTCATGAATCTGGACACAACGGATTTTAGCATGGACACAACCATTACCGAACAATAGCGAGTCTTTCCGAACAATTCCCAAAATGCTCTAATAACTCTCTAGATTTTTAACTTGGTATAATTGCATATTTAAAAATAAACAAAATTTTTGAAAAAATCCCGGACCATTGTGCATTCCGGAGTGTTGGGAGCCGGACTAAAGGAATTCTTCTGTGACAAACTTGCTGTGCGTTTAGGCGTTTTACTCATAAAACCTAACTTCACGCAGGTGTTATCAAAGTTGCACTTCTGATAAAATTATTTGTTGAAGTCCATGCGTTTTGGAGGTTAGATTTTATGTGTAAAACGCTCAAACGACCAGCAAAAACATAGCTTTTTTTATAGTTTGTTTCTACCAGTTCATACGAAGATCGACCCGTATCATAGTACAGTAAAAGTCCTTTAATCCGGCTTCGGACAAAATCAGTAGAAAATACAATCAACAAAGCTTAATTTACATTTATTAGAATATATATTTAAAATATTTTTCAAAACACATTTTTAATTTTTACATGAAACAAAAATTTGTTGGTTTTTAGCCATTTGTTGATTTGCAGTTTCTGATTGAGAGTTAGTGTTACGTGTTTTCGTGTCCTTTACTGATTAAGTTTTGGTCACAGCACAGTCAGGTGGTTAAATCTACTGATATATCCTTCGTAGAACGTAGGGACTATACTTATCGTAGAACGTACTTTGTTCATAAACTTGGATACAACGTTCCTTCCGAACCTCCCAGAAAACGTTCTAATAGCAAACGAGCGTTTTTATTTGCTTTAAAAAAAAACGAAATTTTCAAAAAAAAATTCCCGGACTATTGTGCATTTCGGACTGTTGGGGGCCGGACTAAAGGACTTCTACTGTAACAAATTGTCCAAACTTGTACTTGCTGTGCCATCAAGCGTTTTCCAAATAAAACCTAATTTCACGCATGTGTTATCAAAGTTGCACTTTTGATAAAATTATTTGTTGAAGTCCGTGCGTTTTGGAGGTTAGATTTTATGTGTAAAACGCTCAAACGACCAGCAAAAACATAGCTTTTTTATAGTTTGTTACAACACAGTTAATACGAACATAGACCCGTAACATAGTGTAGTAGGAGTCCTTTAGTCCGGCTTGCTCTGGACCCAAAATTCCGGATTATCGGGCAGTAATTATGAAAACAATCAGATTAATTATTAAACTACGTAAGAAATAGAAACAATACAGTATATTTTACATTTATCAAAATATATGTACAAAATTCTTATAAATTTTTACCAAAACTCATTTTTTTTATTTTTACATAAAATTTAATGATTTTTATTTTCAGCTATTTTATGGTTTTTAGTTTCTGATTGAGTGTTAGTTTTAAAAGAACACGGTCACTGTACAGTTAGGGGCCATTCATTAATCACGTGATCGATTTTTTAAGGATTTTTAATCACTCCCCCTCCCCCTTAGTGATACGTACTGATATTCAAAATTACCCTCCCTCCCCCCACCAAACTTCGAAATTTTTTGAAGGAATTTTTCAAATTTACGAAAAAATCGTGTACTTTTTTGAAAATGTTTGGGTTTTTTTTTTTTAAAAAAATTAGGTTAAAAATAAATATACGTAAAATATCTTACCAAACCCCTCCCTCCCCGCGTGAGGTTTTGCAAATTTTTTTGTCAGTAAGTTGTTGATCACGTGATCGATTTTTTAAGGGATTTTTGAATCCCCCCTCACCCTCGATGATATTAAAATTAAACTCCCTCCCCCACCCTAAAATTCATCGAAAGAATTTTTCGAATTTACGAAAAAATCGTGTGTTTTTGTTGAAAATCTTTGGATTTTTTTTTTTAAATCAGGTTCAAAATAAATACACGTAATATCTTACTAAACCCCTCTCTCCCCCGCGTGATGTTTTTTTATTTTTTATCAAACCCACCCTGCCCCTAAAAGCCTCTTGTGATTAATGGACGCCTCAATTAATTAATTGGTTAAATCTACTGATATATCCTTCGAGGGCCGAATTCTTTGTAGAACGTAGGGACTACGCATATCGTAGAACGTACTTTGTTCATGAACCTTGACACAACTGAAGTTAGCATGAACACAACCTTTACCGAATCCTTCCGAATGATTCCGAATCATTCTGAAAACGTTCTAATAGCTCTCATGTGTTTTTACTTACATTTTTGAAAAAAAAAGAAATTTTCCAAAAAAAATTCCAGACCATCAGGCATGTCAAGTGTCGGACTAAAGGACTTCCACTGTATTACCATAACATTTCTATTTTATCCCAGAATTAACCCCTATGTTTAAATTCGAAGAAATTGCAGGCATAATAAGTTATGAATTATGATCATTACATTAGTTTTAATAAATGAAATATCTAATAATAATTTTTTATATTTGCATTTGTCACTTTTTATCGTTTCTGGAATATTGACTGATTTGTTTTAAATCGTATTTGTTGTTGTTATAAATTATACAAACGAGTTTTTTATAATTGAAAATCAATTTTATTGGTGATAATTAATAAGAAGTGATTTTTTTTGACAAAGATTGTAAAATAAGCTAATAGCTGTCTACAGTTTTATATAAAAAAGTGTTCAAAAATCAATCGAAATTTTTTTCGATCTTGAAACATTATTGATATAATTAGCAACCAATGAATTAAAGATGATTAATTAATTTTCACTTTTTTATTTATACGTTTCGATGCTTAATATGTCCCATTATTCAGTAAGTTTAAAACACAGACATTTTGTTTCAAGGAATGAATAGTATTTTTTTAAAAATGAAACATTATTTTAATTTTTTAAGTGATTTCGGTGATTTCAAATATGCTTTTTTAAAAAATATTAAAATATTTATTTAAAAACTTATGTATATTTTTACATACATACTAAACTGGGAAAATAATATGAGATTAATTTTTTCGCTATGAAAAATTTCACATTTTTAATAGAATTCATTTTAAAGTTCAAATATTTTTTTCAAAAATTGTATTCGTTGTTTCAAACAATATTTCTGTAATTTAGTTTTACTCAACGACGACACACATTAAGCGCCGAAACGTACAAATTAAGTGCAAATTAATTTATCAATTTAATTCGACGAATTAGCTGCTAATTATATATATATAATATATATATATATATATATATATATATATATATATATAAGAGCTTCAAAGAATCCAAAATAGTGTTAAAAATCCAAAAAGTTTTTTAAATATTTATTATGTATATATCGACGTTTCGGATCAATGCACGTTCCATCTTTAGGATTTTTGTCAAGAACATGACCTTAATTGGAAAATAAATAAAACTAAATATAGTATGAATAAATAAAAATTATTATTATTGTTGTTGAGCTTTGAGCAAGGAATGCAATAAGTTAAAAAAAAATAAAGTTTTTTTAAACTTATTTATTATCGACGTTTTGGAACTATATGCGTTCCATCTTTAGAACATCTATCAAGAACATCATCTTGATTAGAAAATAAAAAAGAAAAAACGAAAGTTATTTATGATAAAATAGTTAAAAAAATAGAAATTATTTAGAAAGAAAGGAACCATCATTTCGTATTTTTTAAACACTTTTTTTTCTTTTTTTTTAAATCAGCTAAAAACTAAAATAAATTACCCACTGTTAATAACATATGAACTATTAAGTTTGAATATTTATTAAAAATAAATTTGTTAGAAAGATAATTATTAAAAATATACAGTATTGTAGTAAATTTTATTAGCTTTCTAAAAATATATAATACTATATATGTATTTTATCAAGTTTTAACAAAAAAACTAAACTATATTATTTGTGGGAAAAATTTACAAGCGCAACTGTTCTACAATACCATTACAAACTGCATTTTATTAACCGACAAAAAATACTTTTTTATCAAAATAATTTAAAAAAAAAACGTCTAAAAGAGAATTTCGATTATATACAAACATTGTATACATATAAATATATGTTATTAATTAATAATTATAATAATCTATATCACAGAAAGCAATCTCAAGAAAGTTTAATACAAAATGTGCAACCTGAACTGACTAGCTAGTTTATACTTTCTAGTTTAATTTCTGAGATACATATATATTTAATGATGATCTAGTACTTCATAAAAGTTCAATCCAAAATGATTTTTTTTTGTAATTCAAATAACCCTAAAAGGGCTTAAATATAAAAAAAATGCTGCACTTAGATATTGTCTATCATAAGTGATGATTGTCTCAGAAGACTAAAATTTTAACTAACATCTCTGAACATAATTTTAATTGTTTCTTTTACAATTCTTCAGTTAAAAATTATTTTCTTTTTAACATGAAAAGATCTCTACTTCATAAATTTCTAGTGAATGTTCTATATTACTAGACATTTTTCTTGAGCC